AAAACGTGAGTGTAAGAGTAAACATTTATAAGGAGTGCCTGACATTTTATAAAATAAAATGTATTCGATCCATCTCAAAATTAAAAATGGATTCTTCTAATGGTACATAACGAGCACTTGTTAAAGTATCTAAATCACTCTTAATTCACCGTATAAATATATGCATTAACAACTATCATCTTATATTGCATTTATAAAGATTTTCTATTTAATTATATTTCCAAAATATTAAGTACTCGTTAGACAAAATCATTAATATATATATATATATATATATGATTTTCTAATTGGTGCCCACTGGCACTCAGTATTTAAAATTCATCTAATTTATCATGTATATACACATACTATAATAATTATCCCTATTGCATTTATATAACTTTTTTTTATTTAACCTTACCTACCTTTCCTTATATTGTTTAGATTAGAGCTGCTAAATGAATCGAATTGTTTATTAGTTCGACTTATCTAGGCTCATTGGTATTCAATAATAGTTATTTGATTGTATACCGCATTATGTGAAAAGTGAATAACTTATCATTTATTTTTTAAAACAAATTTCGTGTAGAGAATTTAATGATATTTAATTAATTCAAATGTTTCATTTTTAATTATCAAATACATATGAACATATTAAAATTGGAATCTATTAAATTTAAATGTCGAATGGAATTATCAAACAGCGCCTAAGTCTAATCAAGAGCCTCAAAGTTACTTGACTAATGTTGGGGATAGTTTTACCTAAGGGTCTGTTTGGATTGCTTAATTTTTAAAAACAAGTTTTTCATATACAATACTATAGTAATACACAACAAAAACAACTTAAAAAATACAGTATCCATACAATATATAAAAAATAATTCCAAATATAAAAAAAAAATACACCACTATCCAGCACCATCACTCTCCACCACCACGGTCACCATCTTACTGCCACCACCCCCACACCCATGACCCTTTCTCTCTCTCCGCCCATATTTCCTCACTTTCTCCTCCTCCTCCTCCTTTTTCCCTACTTCTCTCTTTCTTTCTCCTTCCTTCTTTCTTTTTCCCTTTCCTTACCCCCAATTTTTTTCCCCTCCACTGACCACAACTTTTCTAGTCACGATCAAATATGATCACGACCAGAAGCCGCAACCAATACGGTCGCGATTTGAGTGGTGGCTAAAGTCACGGTCACCACCTGCGAGCGGGAGAGGGGTTTGGGGTTGGGGGAAATGAGAGGAGAGGAGAGAAGGGAGAAGAGAGGGGAAAGAGGGATGAGGAGGAGAAGGCTGGGAGGAAATAGAGGGGCGAAGGAAAGAAAGAGAAAGTAGAGGGGGAGGGAAAAGGAGGGAGTGGTGGTGAGTCGTGTAAAATTTTAAAAAAATATCTCAAAAAAATTGTAAATTATAAAAATATTCAAAAATATATATTAAAAATATCTCTAAAAATAATCCAAAAAATATACAGTAAAATTTTTTCATATACACAACTACAGTAAAGTTTTTGAAAAATATTCTCAAAAAAAGCTAATCCAAACAGAGGCTCAAACTCAAATTCAAACTTGCCGAACTCAGTTACATTTTGTTTTGCATTACTCAAGTTCAACCTCAAGCTCATACTCATTGAATTCAATTGAACTTAATTCGAGTTCAATCGACCTTAATCGAGTCTAATCCAATTGAATAAATATAAATTTATATTTTATATAATTTTAAATAAAGGATAAAATAGACATTTTATACTAAAGAATAAAAATTTTTTAAAAACATATATATGTGAACCTCGATTGAGTTTAACGAACATTTAAACTTCAAATATTAAGTTCGACCTCGAGCTCAAACTCAATTTACGTGATTGGAACTTGAGTTTTGATGATACAAGTTCGTAACGTACTTGATTAAGTTTGATTCGTTTGCACCTTTACTTCCACTTCCACGTTGTTTTTGATCTTCGTCACTAGTGGCTCGCTCTATAAATGGGCTGAGTCTTATGAGGTGTCTAACTACGTAATTCCATTCGACCCATAGGATTAGAACCCGATAGATTTCCACCCTCAAGCACAACTCACCATATTACAAAGGCAAGCCCGCCAGCAGGGATATGCGCCTGGGCTGGAGTAGGAAAGCCTACCATTCTCCGTCACAAACGCTCGTGGAGCAGGTAACGAACCTCCTTGGGTGGACAGAAGCGTAGGTTAAAACTTAAAAGTTCCGTCCTATGACTAAAGAGCGCCACGTTTCTGTCCACAAACATTTTTTGGTAAAAAAGCTAATCTCACCTTGGATCGATCAATCAACACTTTTCTACATTGGTGCTATAATACTTGGCTGCCACCAGTCCATCATTGTAGCAACTAGCCGACAACCGAGAAGGGACCAGTTTTTTCTTACTCAATGTAGCCTTCTTTGCTTTGAGCGCCAGGAATTCCTCCCAACCCCACCACCTGCCATTTTTGTATTTATATTGGGAATATACGCCTGCCTTCTTTGCCGTTACGGATCCCAGATTTCCCATACACACCATAGTTTGGGTCCAATAAAAGTTCAAGAAAGATCAGATTTTTATTCAATTTTTCAAACCAATCCATGTCCTTAATCACCACTGGTGCTAGGCATTAATGTTATAGGAGTACCAAGTATTTTGGAGGAGGAGAATAAACAGAAAAAATGGTTTCTTTAATTGAGATTAACGAAGAGAGAGGAGGAAGGAGGAGGAGCAGCAGAGGCAGTAATTATAGTTCTACTAATGGTACAGGTGCTGGTGCACAGACTACTACTACTAGCAGGAGTGGTAGTAATGGGAGTGAGAAAATGAGGAAATTGTTATTGGGAATCGGATTTTGGGTGCAGGGATTGAGGTGTTTACCATGGCTTGGGGTGAATTTTTTCCTGAAAGATGGGCTGAGAGTAGACCCTGCTACTTCGCAGATTCTTCAGAATTCTGCTACCTTGCCAATGGTGGCCAAGCCCCTTTATGGTATCATCTCTGATTCATATTATATCTTTGGCCAGCGTCGAACTCCCTATATTGCTATTGGAGGTATTACGCTTTCTTAGATTATTTTTTGTTTAATTTTTTTATGTTACTTTTATGCGCATTGGTGTTTTATTTTATTCTAACTTGTTTAACATATGTGGATGAATGCTAATTAGAAAGACTGAGTTGTGAAGAATTCTATGCTCTGAATGTTTTTTTATATTCAAATGATTTGTCCCGAGTAAAATACAATTGGACTCATCGAATTTATATCTTTCCTTTCATCAAATTAGCTTTTTCTAGTAAGTTTCCCTTCAGGCTGTAAATGGGCCTCAACTTTTCGATCATCTAGCAAAACCCAATCCTGTTGAATCTAGAATCTGCAGCCCTGGCTGATGGATTAATGTTCAAGTAGAAATGAGATCAGTAACATATTGTAAAGTAGTAAAAGAGATATACAAATATTTTTGTTTATCTGTATCTATACTTGTATACATATAGAAAGTGTATAATGCAAGAGTAACTTCGCCATGGGGTTGTTTCTTCGACCCCCCCCCCTCTTTCCAAAAAACAAAAATTTGGGGGCCGGAGTGTATACTTCTAGGCAATGGGGGACTTTTGGGTGGAGATCTGATGTAACAATGTGCCAACGTTTTAGTGATAAACTATTGAGAGCTTGCCTTTAGATCCATGGATGGCTTCCTGTAATAGCAATCGAAGTGCTGCAATTCATTTTGGTACTACAATTAGCTCAAAAGGTCATGAGTGAGAGTACCAGTTTTTATGGCTCCCAATCATTGAAATCTTGCCTACCTTGTTCCCCAGCATTAGAAAGAAGTTATGTGGAACAGATCCAGGCTTCTGGAGTCACTACCAGTTGATACCATATCCGAGACTGTGCTTCTTATTTAAGCCTGATAAATAGTGACTGCCCTATTGAATTGTAGTTGGAAGAAAGAAATGAGCCGGAAAAATGGGTTCTTCAATTGTCAATGATGAGGAAGGAGTTGGAGGAAGGAGGACAAAGGCAGTAGAAATGGTAGTACACATAGCAGTCCTAATAGTGCTGTTCCTGGTTAACAATTTGTTGCTACTACTAGTACTACGAGGTTAGGAATAGGGCTTTGGCTTCAGGGTATTCAGTTTTGTCCGTGGCTGGCAGTGAAATTTTTACTAAAAGATGGCCTAAAAGTAGACCTGTCTGTGAATCAGTTCCTCGGGACTTACTGCTTATGTGTCTATGATGGCCAACCCCTTTTTGTAATCATCTCTGATTCTTATTATATCTTTGGCCAGCATCATAATGCTTGGGCTTCTTTTTTTTTTTTTTCCTCCTCTCACTTTGGTTATCCTTTGGCTTGTTGCAGTGACTTCTGAAAATATTTGGCCTATTTAAATGATGAATGTCAAGTTGGAAAATGAAGGAAGGAAGATACTGGTTTTATTTAGCATTATTAGTTTCAGTTTTGACCTCTTAATATCCAGTGTATTTGATCTCTAAGTACTGGGTGCTCTTTAATATGTAGCTCCAATTGCAGAGCCCGTTTAATTGTTGAACAGTGGGTAGATATCGATGTACAAATATAGTTTGACATATGCAATTCTGATGTCTAAAACTCAAGAGTCTACTTAACCTTTTATGAGGAATAACCAGCCCAGAATAAATTGTATTACAAGATTTCAGAGTAATTAATGTGGCTGTAGAGTGTCTGAACTGTGAAATTCATGACTCCACTATCAGTTGATCAATGTCTTCCTTGCTGTTTTTCAATACATAGTGTCCACTCATCTTCTCAAACCATATCAAATAAGTGTGATATCAGGCGCATTGCCTGCAGATAGGAGGTTACTGATGTGAGGAAAGAAAAGGGGAAAAAGGGAAGTAGCAAATGTTGTCGAACCTTTGGCATCATTAGTTAGTTTCTCTGCCAAGATAGGATATATATATATATATATATATGTATATGTATATGTATAATATTTCATTGCTTAAGAAGACAGGAATGAGGAGTTGGAGGCCCTTATTCTTCTTTGCATAACTTCATGATGGAAAGAACACAAAACATGAAAGAACCAACCCCTGAAAGATGTCATTATCTGGCAGCTCAAAATCATCAAGATCGAAAGTCTCTGGCAAAGTGATTGAGTTATAAGGTGCCTTAGATTCTTCAGGAGGTAAATCTACAGCAGTGGAGCGAAAAGCTTGCTTGATCTTAAGCAAAGCCTCACTGCAATCATCAAAAAGGTAATTGACCTTCCTAGAGTATATCCTCACTACGCCAAGTAGAAGATGGCTTGACAACCGCAATGCAATGGGAACATCAGGGCAAAGAATTGAATCTGTTGTAGATATGAATCAGAAGCTCCATAAGAATAAATGAGTCTTACACAGAAAATCACAAGTATACAAAGGAAAAAAGGAAATTAAAATTGGTAAATATGAGCAAGCCAATTAATAATTGACTTTTCAGAGAAGAATAATGGAAAAGTAACACACTTGCATACTAAAATACATGGCAAAAATTTCTAATATTTTGCAGCCAGCAACATTCATTTAAAAAAAAGGACAATATGGGCTTTAATAACTTGCAACTCCATATGCAGGAGACACTTTGATACTCAATGACTAGAGAAGAATTGCACCAAAAATGAGACATCTACAGCAGTTATGTCAAGCTAAATAGGTGCTTAGATTCACACTTGTTTCAGCTTAAGTTCAAACCCAAGGCACTGGTGAAAACTTTGCATTTTAACAAAGCAGGATAACCCTAGAAAGCACAACAAAAGAGACAAAAAATGCACATACAAGAACAGCAGATATAATTGGAAATGGTATGCAAGAAAATCATCATAATCTATTGAATGCAGTACAGAATTTCTAGATGGCCACCAGTCAAATAGAATTCAGAACCTCAAAGAGTAGTAATTGCTGCATGCTGCAGGACTACTCCATACACAAATATAATATAAACAACCACACAACATAATTTGATAGAGTTACAATTGTATACATAAAATTATCAAGGACAATATCAAGAACCTTTTTGCTTTTTCTGTTTCGATCATAGTTTGGATAACAGTTTTTGAGTAGCTAAGCAGCAATTTGGCAAAACTTCTAAAACTGATCACTGCATCTTCATAGAATTCAACTAGAATTGGGTGATAGTATAATTATTTCAATGACTATTGGATGCACTGAAATTTCAATCTGAACCAAACATAGGGCTGTGGAGGATTTAAATTGTAGCTGTCAGCGAAACTTTGATTAATCATTACTTTTGTACGCCTTGAATGCAGTAAAGTTTTAAGCTTGAATTGAAGATAAAGTTCATTGAGGCTTTAAAATGTAGCAGTCAGCAAAATGTTGGCTACAAGACAAAGGTAGGAAATACTTTGTTTTAAATGAACAAACATCAAGAGAAAAGCAGAGATTGCACGCCTTTGGTTTAGCAAAATAGCACGTTAAAGAATTGTATCCAAGGCGTGCAGAACACATGCAATACTAATGAAATTTCAAATGTCTTAGCTATAACAGAAGACCTACTTTAATTTGTACATAAAAATGACTTTACTGCTTTTACATATGTTATTCAATTCCGATTTACTTTCCCATAATCATTACAAAACACTTAAACCCATTTTGAACTCCACAAAAGTCAATTATTGCAAAATTTCTGTAACCCATACTGAAGGCCTTGTTCTAATCTGATTATTGTGAGAGAGAGGACACCATTAACCAATTACAATTGATGTGATAACAAGTTTTAGATTCTACTATTTGGTCATTCACACTCGGGTCATTCAACATGTGTGCATAAACAAGAAAATGAGGAGGACAGGTCATTCCAAAAAAACCTCCTTTTTCTTTTTATGTGACTTGAGCATACCAAATAAAGCCAAATTCTCAAATCTGGTCCATAGTATCGTTTAATCAATCTAGAAACTTTTACTTGATCAATCTGGAAACTTTTAAATCAATCTAAAAACTTTTACTTAATTTGCTCTGCAAATGAAAATAGTTTCCCAACTTGTTTGTACATCTCCAATGGTACATATTCAACATATACCAATCTGCTAATAGCATTCTACCTCCTAACTAACGACACCAACAATTGATTGAAAAGTACAAATCCATAACACGTAAAAAGGTGACAAACTAACAAATTACATATATTATTCCAATGCTTTCCATCAGAATGAAACACAGAATAACACTCTCAAGTTAAGATTTCAATATTGGTACTTAAGGAACTAAAAGTTATCGTCGTCACAACTTTGTCGCATGCCAAACGCAAAATGATATCTTTAATTTAGAATTACACGTTTGGTACTTATGCTTCAATCTCATTCGCCAAACGCATAATGGTATCTTTAATTTAGAATTACACGTTTGGTACTTATGCTTCAATCTCATTCACCAAAAACTTAATCGACGCTAGTTACCGTCCATATAGCTAGTCAACAAATTGGCATAATAGGACATGATCTAGCTAATAGAAACAAAATGAAACCAATCGGAAAGCTTCAACAAGGTGAAGCTATAGAATATTTTCAAAACTAAGCTCATACTCCTCACTTAATAACATCAAGACACATATAACGGTGACAAATTTCTATTGGAAACAGATGCGGCATATTTGAGCACCATTTTCAACAGGGAGATTTCAAATATTGTCGAGGAAAAGAAAACATAAAAATATTCTCAGGAAATAGAGCAGCACAATAAAAAAAATTTTAAAAATAAGGAAGACCAAAAGAATTTATTATGCCACAAACACATAACACTTCCAACGAATGAAAATTTCTTTTTGCCTCCTAAAAGGTAATGACATGAAATTCAGTCAGCCTTGTACTTCAAACAAGTGAGCATAGACCCGGAACCTGAATGTTAGTATGTAAGTATGTATGCATGCAGGGCCCACCATACAGGCAAACTACCTCCCCCCAAACAACTGATTCAAAGAAGTTCAACTTTGTTTGAACCCGTCCAGAAAGTACTAGCCACCAGGCAAATCATTCTTTTAATAAACTCTCTACCTTTATTTTAGGGCCAATACGGCAAAGCACATCGAGAATGAGGAACATGACGTCATTGAACATAGATATGTTGCTGAAGCTTATTCTACCTTTACCAAATTGCTTACGAAAGCAAAAAATGATGTGGATCGTATAAAAACAGAAATAATCCAGGCAATAAACGTCTTGTCCTTACGTGGAAGCAGTCTTTATCCAACTAGGAGCACCAAGACCTCATTTATCCATTACATACGCAATCCAAGGAAAAGTTTCTGGCATCATTTCCATCGAGATTAAACATGTAACTCTAACTACTATTTGGCAAAAGGTGAGTAAAATATAATGTGTAAGCACACAAACATTGCGAGATTTACCAAACTTCATAAGTCATAACGACTGCTATCCTTTCTTCATCCTGGTGATTAACCATTTCAACTTCCACATTTACTCACATACAACATCTTTAAACAATTGCCTCCCCCCCCCCGCCTTACAAAAGAACATTTTCCTAAGAGATATTCAGACAGCTAATTCATATAGAATCAATTCAAGCTACATTCAAAAAAATGTATAATAGAAGCTTAACACAAATCAGAAACCTGTAAGGAAATTTACTTACCTACAGAGTCACCAATATCGGTATCAGCCACCTGATTTTTTCGAAGCTTCCGTTCCAAATGTGCTGCAATCCATATAGTTCCTAAGGGCCCCTTTTTTGCCAATATAAACTGCGAATAAAACATCTTTTCTTACCCACTCTTCCCTTATTACTCCACAAAAATCCAAACTTTTTACCTCAGAAAATGAAAATTCACACTTCTCTACAACAAAACAACAACAGCTTCCAGTAAAACTCCAACTACCCTCTACACATCTACAAACACAACACAACAACCATAATTTACAACACTGTTACCTCATAAAACCGAGCAATGAAAAAATCCCCAAAATCCCTTAACTTAAAAACCCTAATTACACAAACTTCAATCAGGACCAGCCACATCTAAAATCACTTCCAAAAACACCTCAAAGCCCATATTCCCACCAAAACCCTAGAATTCAAGGACGACAAAAAAAAAAAAAGAACCCAAATTAGCTATAGCTTGAACACCTAGGAAAGCAAAACCCTTAAGCTAGGGTTTCCTCTCAAGTCGTAAAAATCTCCAATTCAGCTGCTTTCACAAAAATTACGAGTAAAGATCCAAACTTGACTTCAAATTAAGCAGCTACAAGCTTCTACTCGAACAATTATCTTCGAAAACTAGGATCGAACTTCGATACTTGAGTAGAAAAGAACAGTATAGTACAAATACATACATACAACTGATCTGTATATATAGGTAGAAAGAAAAGTCGTGAAAGAAGGCGGAAGTAGTGCGTGTAGTGTGTGCAATTCGATCCGAGTGATTTGAAATGAGAAGCTGGTACCTCCGATACGCTTAGATTTATTTTTATTTTTTCTTTTCTTTTTCCATCTGAGGTTTTTGGGGATTATATTGCTGGTGCGAATCAGAAGCGCCTTCGTTTTCGAATTTTGAGGATTTTCGAACCGGGGAAAGGTTCAGTGTGCGGCACGTGCGCGTTCGAATTGGACGTCACCGTCGGATTTATTGCAGCTGTGATGAGATTTAGTGGCTGGGAATTTGAACGGTGGAGATCTAGTGACGAAATCCTCGTCGTCTGGTTGGGTACTGTTTTGAAGTGTACTGCAGCCTGTCCTCGTCAAAACACTGCAGTTACTGTGGGTGTTGACAATTGACGACTGCCCAAACGACACGTATTTTTATTTATTTCTTTCCTTTTTTTTTGTTACACATTTGTCTTTTGTCAGATACTGAAATAAACACACACACTCTTAATTAGACTATGGGTCTGTTTAATAACATAAAAAAGTGCTGAATCTGAACTTTTTCAGACATTCAGATGTTTTGAGTGTTTGATAAATGAAAATACATTTGCTGAATTTGTTAAGTAGTGCTGAACTTGTGTGTATTTTTTTTAGCACAAGAATCCTAACTGAATGCTTAATTCTGATAAGAATTAATAAAATTACTTCAACTACCTTATCTTATCTACCAAATCTACCCTTGTTTATTAATTATATTCAAAATTCTTATCTAATTAAACAACTTAATATTCTCTATCTAATGGTTTTCTATTTATCTTTTCTGCCTTTCTAATGACTTTCACATCTTCTCCATACTCATCATATAATATATTTCATCTTTTATATTAATTTGATTTAAAAACAAATATTATCATTTTCATGCCTAAAAATTTTAAGCTAATTAAATCATAGGTTCTATTTCATTTTTGGATGAAAAGATGTAAGGGCAAAATTGTTAAATTTAACTTATTAAGCATTCAGTATAAATGTTTATCAAACAATATAAATAGGTTCAGCATTAAAATTCAGACATTCATATATTTCTTTTCAGTGCTTAAAATTCAGTAAATTAATTGTTTCAGTATTCAGACTTCAGAATTCAGATTCAATTTTATCAAACGGAACCTAAGCACGAGAGTTACACATTTGTCAGTTGGGATAATTTCAGAAACCTCACGTAAGTTTTTGACAATTTCACTAGTATATCTTGAAGTTTGCAAAATTGTGCAAATCTCCCATAAAGTTAAGGTTTTGATAACAAAATCAATCCAAATAGAAAAACTAATATTGAAAAAGTATTTTAAAAAAAAGAGATAAAATTTTTATTCGATAAATACCCCTTAGGCATATATATATATATATATATATATATATATATATATATATGTGTGTGTGTGTGTGTGTGTTGTATTAATAAAAGAATAAAAAATATTAAAAATTATAAATAATTAATACATGCATTTCACCGCTCAAAAAATTCAAATTTAATAAATTAGGTAACACAAATAAACAGCAAAACTACAATAATGATCATAAGATTCAGCAAAACATACTAGTCATCTCTTTTAACATGATGTTTGTGTATGATTCTTGTGATTTTAAATAGAAAAACTTTCGAATTTTGCCTTTCTTTTCCCTCGTTTCTCTTTTACTTCTATGAAATTACTTTATAACTGTCACAACTTTAAGAGTTAAAATAAACACCTTATGAACAATCTTTTTTTGGCCTGTATTTTATCTTTTATCAAAGTTCTTCTTTCTCACAATCTGTACAACTGATTTTTGGTAATTGTCAAATTCTATTAATCACAAAATAACGTCATTAGATTTATCAATTGGTGTATTTTGTAATTACAAGTCATCGTTCATCATTAAAAAAAATTTCAACTATTATTTCCATTAATTAGTGATTGATAGTTAATTAGTACTCTAATTACTTAATCATTAGATATTAATAAAGGATAAATTAGGAAAAAGAAAGACAAAAGTTTGAAATTTTTTTCCCAAAATCACAAAAATTGTAGCAAATATCATGTCAAATGAGATGACAATTCTATTTTACTGAATCCTGTGATCATTAGTGTAGTTTTGCTGCTTATTTGTGTTGTCTAATTTATTGAATGTTAACTTTTAAAATGGTAAAATGTGTGTATTAATTGTTTATAATTTTTAATTATTTTCGTTCTTCTACTAATATAACTTATATTCATGCATAAGAGGTATTTATGGAACAACAGTTTTATCTCTCTCATTAAAGTACTTTTTTTAATATTATTTTTTAATTGGACTAATTTTGTTATCAAAACTTAAACTCATTGGAGGTTTGTATAATTTTGCTAACTTAGGAAAGGCTAGTGAAATTATCAGAAGCCTTATAGGAGGTTTCTGAAATTATCCCTTGTTTGTTTCTGAAACAATTATCAAGAATGGCTTTTCTCCAAGTGGAAAATTTTAAATTTGGTGTAAAGGTTTTACCTTTCCTCTATTTTGTAAACAAAGAATCTATCATTAATGTAAAACATAAATGTGTGTTTGGATGGTAGATTATTTGGGATGTTTTTTTTGAAAAAAATACTATAACAATTTTTTTAATGTGATATGTATGAAGTAAAAAAATGGTTGAAAAATATGTTGCTAATGTAAGTAAACAAATTTTTGGTAATACATTAACCAAACAAACCTAATCAAAAGAAAATTAACATTTAATTATTAGGAAAATAGAAGTTAGGGAATGAAGCGATTGAAAATGTATTCAACCCATCTAAAATTATTAGCAAAAATGAAAACGTGAGTATAAGAGTAAACATTTATAAGGAGTGCCTGAGATTCTATAAAATAAAATGTATTCGATCCATCTCAAAATTAAAAATGGATTCTTCTAATGGTACATAACGAGCACTTGTCAAAGTATCTAAATCACTCTTAACTCACCGTATAAATATATGCATTAACAACTATCATCTTATATTGCATTTATAAAGTTTCTCTATTTAATTATATTTCCAAAATATTAAGTACTCGTTAGACAAAATCATTAATATATATATATGATTTTTCTAATTGGTGCCCACTGGCACTCGGTATTTAAAATTCATCTAACTTATCATGTATATACACATACTATAATAATTATCCCCATTGCATTTATATAACTTTTTTTATTTAACCTTACCTACATTTCCTTATATTGTTTAGTTTAGAGCTGTTAAATGAATCGAACTGTTTATTAGTTCGACTTATTTAGGCTCATTGGTATTCAATAATAGTTATTTGATTGTATATCACATTATGTGATAAGTGAATAACTTATCACTTATTTTTTAAAGCAAATTTCGTGTAGAAAATTCAATGCTATTTAATTAATTCAAATGTTTAATTTTTAATTATCAAATGCATCTGAACATATTAAAATTTGAATATATTAAATTTAAATGTCGAATGGAATTATTAAACAGTGCCTAAGTCAAATCAAGAGCCTCAAAGTTACTTGACTAATGTTGGGGATAGTTTCACCTAAGGGTGCAATCGAGTTGAATAGTGCACTACTTGAATTTTTAAAAAATCTCAAATTCAAACTTGCCGAACTCGAGTTACATTTTGTTTTGCATTACTCAAGTTCAACCTCGAGCTCATACTCATTGAATTCAATTGAACTTAATTCGAGTTCAATCGACCTTAATCGAGTCTAATCGAATTGAAGAAATATAAATTTATATTTTATATAATTTTAAATAAAGGACAAAATAGACATTTTATACTAAAGAATAAAAAAATTTAAAAAACATATATATGTGAACCTCGATTGAGTTTAACGAACATTTAAACTTCACATATTAAACTCGAACTCGAGCTCAAACTCAGTTTACGTGATTGGAACTTGAGTTTTGACGATACAAGTTCGTAACGTGCTTGGTTAACTTTGATTCGTTTGCACCCTTACTTCCACGTTGTTTTTGATCTTCGTCACTAGTGGCTCGCTCTATAAATGGGCCGAGTCTTATGACGTGTCTAACTACTAATATTAGTTCCAGTCGACCCATAGGATTAGAACCCGAAAGATTGCCACCCTACCCTCAAGCACAACTCACCATATTACAAAGGTAAGCCCGCCAGCAGGAATTTGTGCCTGGGCTGGAGTAAGAAAGCCTACCATTCTCCGTCACAAACGCTCGTGGAGCAGGTAACGAACCTCCTTGGGTGGACAGAAGCGTAGGTTAAAACTTAAAAGTTCCGTCCTATGACTAAAGAGCGCCACGTTTCTGTCCACAAACATTTTTTGGTAAAAAAGCTTATCTCACCTTGGATCGATCAATCAACACTTTTCTACATTGGTGCTATAATACTTGGCTGCCACCAGTCCATCATTGTAGCAACTAGCCGACAACCGAGAAGGGACCAGTTTTTTCTTACTCAATGTAGCCTTCTTTGCTTCGAGCGCCAGGAATTCCTCCCAACCCCACCACCTGCCATTTTTGTATTTATATTGGGAATATACACCTGCCTTCTTTGCCGTTACGGATCCCAGATTTCCCATACGCACCATAGTTTGGGTCCAATAAAAGTTCAAGAAAGATCAGATTTTTATTCAATTTTTCAAACCAATCCATGTCCTTAATCACCACTGTTGCTAGGCATTAATGTTATAGGAGTACCAAGTATTTTGGAGGAGGAGAATAAACAGAAAAAATGGTTTCTTTAATTGAGATTAACGAAGAGAGAGGAGGAAGGAGGAGGAGCAGCAGAGGCAGTAATTATAGTTCTACTAATGGTACAAGTGCTGGTGCACAGAGTACTACTACTAGCAGGAGTGGTAGTAATGGGAGTGAGAAAATGAGGAAATTGTTATTGGGAATCGGATTTTGGGTGCAGGGATTGAGGTGTTTACCATGGCTTGGGGTGAATTTTTTCCTGAAAGATGGGCTGAGAGTAGACCCTGCTACTTCGCAGATTCTTCAGAATTCTGCTACCTTGCCAATGGTGGCCAAGCCCCTTTATGGTATCATCTCTGATTCATATTATATCTTTGGCCAGCGTCGAACTCCCTATATTGCTATTGGAGGTATTACATTTTCTTAGATTATTTTTTGTTTAATTTTTTTATGTTACTTTTATGCGCATTGGTGTTTTATTTTATTCTAACTTGTTTAACATATGTGGATGAATGCTAATTAGAAAGACCGAGTTGTAAAGAATTCTATGCTCTGAATGTTTTTTTATATTCAAATGATTTGTCCCGAGTAAAATACAATTGGACTGATCGAATTTATATCTTTCCTTTCATCAAATTAGCTTTTTCTAGTAAGTTTCCCTTCAGGCTGTAAATGGGCCTCAACTTTTCGATCATCTAGCAAAACCCAATCCTGTTGAATCTAGAATCTGCAGCCCTGGCTGATGGATTAATGTTCAAGTAGAAATGAGATCAGTAACATATTGTAAAGTAGTAAAAGAGATATACAAATATATTTGTTTATCTGTATCTGTACTTGTATACATATAGAAAGTGTATAATGCAAGGGTAACTTCGCCATGGGGGTTGTTTCTTTGACCCCCCCCCCCTCTTTCCAAAAAAACAAAAATTTGGGGGCCGGATTGTATACTTCTAGGCAATGTGGGACTTTTGGGTGGAGATCTGATGTAACAATGTGCCAACGTTTTAGTGATAAACTATTCAGAGCTTGCCTTTAGATCCATGGATGGCTTCCTGTAATAGCAATCGAAGTGCTGCAATTCATTTTGGTACTACAATTAGCTCAAAAGGTCATGAGTGAGAGTACCAGTTTTTATGGCTCCCAATCATTGAAATCTTGCCTACCTTTTTATGGTACTACAATTAGCTCAAAAGGTCATGAGTGAAAGTACCAGTTTTTATGGCTCCCAATCATTGAAATCTTGCCTACCTTGTTCCCCAGCATTAGAAAGAAGTTATGTGGAACAGATCCCAGGCTTCTGGAGTCACTACCAGTTGATACCATATCCGAGACTGTGCTTCTTATTTAAGCCTGATAAATAGTGACTGCCCTATTGAATTGTAGTTGGAAGAAAGAAATGAGCCGGAAAAATGGGTTCTTCAATTGTCAATGATGAGGAAGGAGTTGGAGGAAGGAGGACAAAGGCAGTAGAAATGGTAGTACACATAGCAGTCCTAATAGCGCTGTTCCTGGTTAACAATTTGTTGCTACTACTAGTACTACGAGGTTAGGAATAGGGCTTTGGCTTCAGGGTATTCAGTTTTGTCTGTGGCTGGCAGTGAAATTTTTACTAAAAGATGGCCTAAAAGTAGACCTGTCTGTGAATCAGTTCCTCGGGACTTACTGCTTATGTGTCTATGATGGCCAACCCCTTTTTGTAATCATCTCTGATTCTTATTATATCTTTGGCCAGCATCATAATGCTTGGGCTTCTTTTTTTTTTTGTTTCCTCCTCTCACTTTGGTTATCCTTTGGCTTGTTGCAATGACTTCTGAAAATATTTGGCCTATTTAAATGATGAATGTCAAGTTGGAAAGTGAAGTAAGGAAGATACTGGTTTTATTTAGCATTATTAGTTTCAGTTTTGACCTCTTAATAGCCAGTGTATTTGATCTCTAAGTACTGGGTGCTCTTTAATATGTAGCTCCAATTGCAGAGCCCGTTTAATTGTTGAACAGTGGGTAGATATCGATGTACAAATATAGTTTGACATATGCAATTCTGATGTCTAAAACTCAAGAGTCTACTTAACCTTTTTATGAGGAATAACCAGCCCAGAATAAATTGTATTACAAGATTTCAGAGTAATTGATGTGGCTGTAGAGTGTCTGAACTGTGAAATTCATGACTCCACTATCAGTTGATCAATCTCTTCCTTGCTGTTTTTCAATACATAGTGTCCACTCATCTTCTCAAACCATATCAAATAAGTGTGATACCAGGCGCATTGCCTGCAGATAGGAGGTGACTGATGTGAGGAAAGAAAAGGGGAAAAAGGGAAGTAGCAAATGTTGTCGAACCTTTGGCATCATTAGTTAGTTTCTCTGCCAAGATAGGATATATATATATGTATATTTCATTTCTCAAGAAGACAGGAATGAGGAGTTGGAGGCCCTTATTCTTCTTTGCCTAATTAGTTTAAAGTTTTTATTGCCCTCATTTCTGTCTAAATGCTTGAATGGAACTGAAATTTAATCCATTGACAAATCCACAGCTTTAGGATTGGAACCTTAAAAGTGATTATTGACAGTAAGAACAATTTTCCAGAATCTAGGTTTAACTGAGTGCTTTTCCCTTTTACTATTGCATTTCAATGTCTTGAAATAAGAAAGTAGGAGTCTTCTAAGAAAGACATTATTTGTTGATGTCTGTTTTCTGGACTTAAACATCTGTCTTCTGTGTGCTGACTAAATGTTTACCTTTGCAGCTATTCTACAATCAATTTCTTGGCTTGCTATAGCATTTCTTTCCAGAACAAGTATCTCATTCTTCATGGTCACGTTTCTTCTCCTCCTTGGCAACTTTGGTGCTTCAATAGTGGAGGTTGCAAATGATGCAATTGTTGCAGAGACTAGTAAACAGCCTGCTTCATCGAAGAACTCAAAACCTTCTTCCTCTGGCAAGCTTCAGTCATTTGTCTGGATGGCCTCTGCCATTGGTGGAGTTGCAGGAAACCTCCTAGGTGGTGTTGCTATTGAACATTTTTCTCCTCAAGTAATATTCTGGATGTTTGGCATTATCCTCACAATCCAGTTTCTCATAACTGCTTTCATTCATGAAAGCTTTCTAAACCTCCCAAAGACTTCATCCAGTTTGGGGATAAAAAACCAACTTTCAGAACTCCTGGCTGCACTGAGGAAACCCGAGATCTTTTACTCAATAGGTTGGTTTGCAGCAACTTATGCTATAGTTCCTTCATTGATAGGCACTATGTTTTACTATCAAACAGAACATTTAAAGATTGAATCATCTGTCTTGGGGATATCTAAGGTAGTGGGTCAGGCAGCTATGCTTCTCTGGGGTGTCATCTATGAGAAATACCTCAAGTTGGCGCCCCCGAGAAAAGTAATCTCATCCATTCAGGTTACCCTGGCCGTTTTCATGCTATCGGACATTTTATTTGTGAAGGGCGTATACAGAGCAATGGGATTTCCAGACTCTCTATATGTGGTGGTTTTCTCAGGAGTTCTTGAGGTTTTGTTCTTTATGAAAATTCTTCCTTTCTCAGTATTAATGGCTCAACTCTGCCCAGCAGGATGTGAAGGATCTGTCATGGCATTTCTCATGTCATCCATTGCCCTTGCCCTGATAGTGAGCGGATACTTTGGTGTTGCGCTTGCTTCCTACTTCAGCGTCACGGGTAACGACTTCTCAGGCCTCCCAGTGGCCCTTCTTATACAGGCAGCATGCACAGTTCTACCACTTCACTGGTCTTACTTTGTTCCTGATGCTGTGAAGTCCAAGACTAATGCCAAAGAAAAGTGAGCAGCAGGCTTGGATCAATGTCCAGCGTTTATATGTGCAAATCAATCCGCTATTTCTTTAAGGAATTCTTTGTATTATAGATTTAGTTCACTTGGCTGCGGATGAGGAATGTATATTTTGGTCCAAAGAACTCAAAAGGCCGAGAGTATCTCATCTTATATTTGATTTAATATTACAGATAATTCCTCTCAGTCTCAGACCCTGGCCGATGTACAGCCCAGGAATTTATCGACATCAAACAAAAGAAAAAGGGATGAGTATCAATATGAGAAAACAGAAAGAAAGAACATACATCAATTCACAGTTCTCTTTCCATGCATGAAACATATTTCTTTGTTTTGTTTAACATGTACACAAGATTACCAAGGCAGACAGATGAACGTTTCTATGGCAATTAGTCATTTTCAATGTTGTGACTTGGAACATATACTTGGTCTGAGACAAAAGATTAAACCTGTGCTGTTTCTTTGATCGATCGAGGCGTTAGATTTCTTGAACGTTTTGAACTTCAATGCAGAAAGAGAATTTCGTAGGCTGGCAAACCAACCACAAGCTGTAGAGAAAATGCTGAAATTTATTGAAGAAACTGCAAGAAAGCTGCTAATGAGCCTTTTGTCACTAGCGCGAGTTCCACTTGAAAATGGACAACACTAGCCATAAAAGTCCGGGCTTCTTTAATCACAGGTTATCAAATATCAATTGCACGATACAATAATATCTATACTATGTATATGTATAAAGCGCGACAGATGGATTGGTGTAAACTTTTTTGTGTCGGTCATATGTATTTCTTCTTATTTTATATTTTTTGTAACTTATTTAGTAAACCTTAACTTTTGTTAATAATTATCAATTATGGTTATGAATTACTACTAAATAATTATTTGTTTATACATTTAATTTTAGTAGTGAATTTTCTACATATTTACTAGGAAAATTTGCCAAATTGGTCCCTAACATTTACCAAAAACACTTTTTTAGTTCCTAACATATAAAATCAGCCAAAATTATTCCTCACATTTAAATTGTGATCCAATTTGGTCCTAATGCTCGTTTTTGCTCATTTTTCCGGCTAAAAATAGCACGGCTCTCTCACATGATCATATTTTTAGGGGCAAAACCGGAAAACACATTTCATTATTGGTTGAAAGTAAAAGAATAGGGGACCACTTGACTTTGTCAATAGGGAAAGCATCTCCAGCTGCAGCACCACCTTCCCGGACACCTATCTCCTCCTTGACTAGTTGTTGTTGTTCTAGCTCAGCAGCAGCGAAAGACGGAGAAGGAGCAGCAGCGGAAGACGGAGAAGAAGCAGCAGCAGCGAAAGACGGAGAAGGAGCAGCAGCGGAAGACGGAGAAGAAGCAGCAGTAGCGGAAGACGGAGAAGAAGCAGCAGCAGCAGCAACAACCTGTGATCTTGTTAACCTGGCCAGTACGACAAAAGACATTCCTCCAAGGACATTGTTTAAACTCCTCAAAGCGACGACAGAGCTTTTGAAGAGAAAAGAGGGAAGGCCCTTGGCAAGCAGAAACTCGATGCCGTTGAGGGCTTGGTATCTGAAGTTGCTGCTGACGCTCATGTGGACGGCCCAGGTGAGAGCGTTCAAAGGCATCGGAGGAGGCTTGTTAGGGGTCTGAAAATTAGGATCCATCTTCTTCCTCATCTTGATCAGGGCATTGGAGATGGCAGTTTCCACGAGTCCGGCGGTGAAACCCACGGCTGCAAAGAGGGTGCCTTTGTACACAAAAGTCCCCATCCGACTAAACACACAGTAAGCCCCCGACTCGAACATGTGGCTGGGAGGACAGGCGGCGAAGATGGAGGGGAGGCGGCCAGAAGAAGGAGTGCCCCCAACCCCCGCGGTGGGTGCTAGGAGATACATGAGCAGGAAATTGAAATGGAGCCGACGACGAGGGTGGAGAAAAAGAAATCCAGTTCATTAAGGCCGAAATTAGGACGAGATGCCATGTCCCCAAGCACGCAGGCCGTCACACTCTACAGCTTTGTCGTCGTCATCATCATCACTAACATTTCCAAGTTATGCTTGTTAATTAAGGGATGCAATTTAGGGTTTCTTGAGACTGTAATTTGAGGCGGAAAGGTGAAAAGGGGGTGGTGGTCCCCTATCCTTTTACTTTCAACCGGTAATGAAATGTGTTTTCCGGTTTTGTCCCTAAAAATATGATCACGTGAGAGAGGCGTGCTATTTTTAGCCAGAGAAATAAGCAAAAACGAGCATTAGGACCAAATTGGATCACAATTTAAATGTGAGGGATAATTTTGGCTGATTTTATATGTTAGGGACTAAAAAAGTGTTTTTGGTAAATGTTAGGGACCAATTTGACAAATTTTCCTATTTACTATTGTAACATAAAACTAATTTTCTTCAAAATGATTTCAGATATTCTCAAAAAAAATTTGATACATAAATAGTTTTTTTATTAGTTGCACGCACATTCGTGTCAGTGTGCCTTGATCACTAGTAAATATTATCACAACAAACAAATATAGACAATAGGAAAATAACTAACAATTAGTTATATATTCAATAGCCACACACATATATTATTGCATACTATGTAATGCATGTTAATTAGTCAATTTTATAATTTTTTGCTCAACTATATATGTTATTTGTGCAGAATTTATCTAGGTTATTTTCAGTTTTGAAACAAATACCTCTAGTAATTCTTTTCAAATACTACTTCTCAATCAATCAAGTACTTGAGAGATATTCCTACACCTAAAACCATTTTTAATCTTTTATAATTAAATTATCACTAGCTATTTCTTTCTTTTTAATAAATAAGTGTGTTTGGATACAAAAATTTTTTCTACACATTTTTTTATAACAATTTAAATATTTTTTTATAAGTATATTCACAATTTTGTTATATTCACACTAGCATATTATTTCATATATATCACAAAAAAAAATTACAACAATTATTTCAAATAATCTATAATGCACTTCTTCTCTATCTTCCCTCCATTGACTCCATTGCTTTCAGTAAAATTCTGTGAAAACACACAGTCACACACTTGAACGTCCTTTCTTGAGAGTGGGTGGCTTTCTTACTCTCTAGCTGATAATCGAGATTCCTAATTTGTATAATTGTATGATGGCGAAATGCTCAAGTAATTTTCCGCCATCATCATCATCGCCAGCATTAATGCCGGATCGTTTAAAGCCCTTCCAAACCCTTGCTGGCATTCAACAGCTTGCTGAATCTCATAAATTCAAGGTAAACAGTCGACTGCTTTGCTTTGCTTTACTATTGATTTTCATCATTTACACCATTTTACATATTCAAGTTATCTTATGAGAATTCTTTAGTTTCATGAGATTGTATATTGACAAATGTACTTTTGTACAAGTTCTTATCAAGTTATAGTTTTTAGTAAATTCGCAAAAGGGTTTTCTTTTTTCTTTTTAATTTGCTTTGTAGTCTTTGATATACTGCCAAAAAGGGTTCTGCTTATAATTAGGAGGAAAATTCATTATAGACGCGGCAAGGGGCGTTTTGTACTTATGATGGTCAGTGCAGGGTTGGCTATTGGACCAGTTTGGAGTTCTGCACGATGGGAAAAAACCTTATCCTGGGGCAATTTCCACATGTATGTTTTCCTTTACTACTAGCTAGTTTTCACGTTCTGGTAAGCTTGTTGTTTTGCATTGTGTGGTTTGGCTTTGAAAGAAGGAACTATTTCAAAATGGTTACTATCATATCAACTGCTTGGACTTATTACAGTGGAGAAGTTGGCCAATTTCGGTGCTAAGATGGTGATTATAAGTAATTCTTCAAGACGTGCGTGTACTACTTTGGAAAAACTTAAGAGCCTTGGATTTGATCCCTCACTTTTCGTGGGGGCAATCACTAGTGGAGAATTAACACATCAGCACCTTCAAAGGTTATTCATTCTATCAGTTAGATTAACTGACTAGTTTCGCTTGTAGTGTAAATTTTATGGAAGTTTTTATGGGAACTGAAATCAGACTAACTGGAGTACTGTATTATTTTATAAATTGTACAAGAGGTAATGTTTCTCCCAAACTGATTTTGCTCTCTGGTTGTATGTCATGCTAATGTTAAATTATCTGCAGCATTGGCATATTGGTTTGATAACTGTGATGTATGTTGTTATTGTTTATGAGTCTGTCTTAATGACAAGTGACACACATTGCCTTGTTCAGCTGATAATTTTGTAGACGATGCTTCATTGTCTTTTTTCTTTTCACATTTTATAGTTATGTCCTGTGTAAACAGCTGGGAGATCCGCTGATTTTTTAGGTGCAACAGAACTGTATTCTTGTATAGATTACTGTAACATTCCTGTCATGCTTTTCGTTTTAAGTTGAAGAAAATGGAACATGACACTGTCAAGTTGAAATTTAGTTCCATTGAACTAGCTTATTATCTGCCCAATTAGTTCTTTTAACTCCACAAACTCAAGTCAGAAGAAGTATCAGAACCTGCGCCATTTCAGAGCACTAATTTAACAGTACGAGTTCTAATTGGATACAAGTTGGGGTTGAGGATCTTAAACTAAGGACAAAAACTTTTCTTATTTTCACGAGCCAACTAATATTGTATAGAGATTGGTTTCTCTACTTGGTATTCGGATGATGATGTCAAAGGATACCTTTCCCAAGAAAGTGTTTGTCCTTTCAAATTACCTCGAGGGAAGCTATTTCATCTGACTGGCCTATTCATAATCATTTTGAATGTTTCCTTGCATATTTCAGTCATTCATGGTCATATTTCGAGCACAGTTTTTTGTTGCTTTACTTCTATTTTGTTTGACATTCTTTTGGCTGCAAATTTACTGAACAGGAGAGATGATCCATGGTTTGCAGCTTTAGGAAAGTCCTGCATTCACATGACCTGGAAGGATCGGGGTGCTATATCTCTTGAGGTATGATATACTTGTAAGCTTCTCGATGTAGTAACTACATCTAGATGTAATTGACTTTGCAAATCATGATTAGTAGGTGCTTGTTCATTTTAATTGCTTCTTTTCTAGGCATACCTTTTTTCTTGAGATGCTTTTTATGTCCTCTACCTATCTACTCCCAGATTAAGAAGGCAAAGTACACCTTCTTCACGAGATAGTTGTTAAAATCTACAATACTTCATGAGTCAAAGTGGATTATCCATGAAGTATTCAGGGTAATCGAAGGTCAGAAAGAATAGAAC